AGATCATAAAATAAGACTGCTAAAAATCGACAAATTCATGACGATATTATTTATCTAAAAAAATTTCGCGTTATTCGATTAAATTGGTACCGATTTTAATATTATGTTATTCATATTAAAATGTCTTTAAACTTTAGTTTTGTTGATTATCACTAAGTTATCATTGATAAGTAAATAATTGCAGAATTGCTTATTTGCTTAAAAATTCATATAAATATAACTCTATAAATATAAATGAAATTCATTCAGTAGTGCTAATGAACAATGATAAGCGGATATATGCTAAATAAAATAAATTATTAACCTTTTTTAAATGTTTTTTAAATTTATTAATTAAATATTTATAAAAAATTTTCTTCCGAAATCCGACGTTGTTGACAATATTTTAACAATGTCTATTATGAAAATTTTATAGACGTCTAACTGTAACAATTTACTGCGATAAATTATAACAAATACTGCGATAGAAATAGTAGAAATACAAATAAAAGAAATATATTACATAGTAGAAAATTATAGTTTATTAAGACAAGATTAATAAAATAATAAATAATTAATAAAATAATTATTGATAAATTCTAATAATATATAATATATATTATAATATATTATAATATACAATATAACATTCACATTGACTATAGCCGTGCAGAAGTAAGCATTAAGCACCAGATCCATCGAAATAAGGATCGATCACAATAGACAAGACTAGATGCAGAATCATACAAAAATGCCCCAAAAACAGTCCAGCGAATAGTAGCAGGATGTAAAATACAGGCATGAACAACACACTGAAAGGTATTACCAAGTAAGTAACTGGGATCATTTTCAGGAGCATCGGTATATAATTTATATAATATAATTTAGACAAAGATAAATGGAAGATTCCTAAGAAAATCAAGAGAATAATCTTATCCTATGGGACTTCACCATTCCGATAAACATACAAGTAACGGCCAATTAACCAGATATCACAGTAAATTTGCTTAAATAGTCTCCCAAGTGGATTGAAATGGAAATCAAAAGGAAGGACTGTTAAGGAAAAGATTAACGGACAAAGTGATAGTAATAGACAAGAATCAGAAATCAGCACTGATGATAAATACAACAATACCAAACGACAGGAATGTCAGAAAGAATATGAGAAGTTAGAAAAATATCAAGGGTTGAAAAAGAAACTAGAGAAGAATGTGGAAAGTAAAAGCCAAAGTAATTCCAGTGATAAATGGAGCACTTGGAACTTGAAACTATGATCTCTAAACTAGAAAAGTGATTTCAGCAGATTGCAGGAACAACATCAGACATCTCTATCCAGATGATCGCTAAGATATTGAGCAGAACCCTTAATCTCCCAGGCCTCTGGTTGAGGACTCGAGGTTGAGGATGACCATGGTCACCCAGAAGGATGTGAGAGAAGAGTTTGTTACATATTGCTGGGAAGTCACACTACAAAAAAATGCAAGCATGACAAAGTAAGGAATGGCCTTGCTTTATTAATGAGGCGTATACGAGCTCAGAAATTGAGAAAGCGTTAGGAAAGCAACTGGTAAGCCTCTGAGAAGACAAGCACAAAAGCGATGAAGCTAACTATGAATAGAAATTTTCAAAAAAAAGAAATATCACTGATATTCCATAAACTAAAATTCACTTAGTCAATAATAAAAAGATTTATAATAAAATTCGAAAAATAATAAAAAAAGAATTATGAAAGAATGCGAGTCAAAATAAAATTTCCTTCAACTGGCGATTAATGAATTTTATAGAATTTATCGAATCGCTAAATAAAATATTCTTTTTTATCTAAAATTTAAAATGATTTTTGAATCAAAATTGTTTCTTTGCTTTCATTTATCGCATTACTTTATTGCTATGGTAATAATAACAAGGAAAGGGCAAAAGAAATTAAAAATACTTTTACATTTATCGTTTGAAAAAAAGGCTAATTTTGAAAAAAAAGAAGGAAATAAAAATTAAGTTTTTGAATTTGAATTCTATAATTTTTAAATTTCAGAAAAATATCAATAATGGTGATAATAATGAATAAAAATTTCATATAAATATTATTGTTATTTCATATTTCTTACTTCTAAATTTAATATTACTTTTACGGTTAATTCAGTCACTAACATTAAGGTTTTCTAGATTTATTATTTATTTAAAATTTAAATCGACACGAGTAAAGTTATCATTTAAAAAATATGAAATAGCTGGCAGCCCATCTATACTTCCATTGATAAATGACTCGTTTGCAAAAATTAATTCTAACAATTCTCAGCGGAATGAGCCCAAACAGAAATGGTGAGCGCTAATCGCCTTACTAATTAATTATTAATGATTTATTTAAAATCCATTTAAAATAATGATTTTTTTAAAATAAAATATATTGCAAAATATTATAGAAAATAAATAAGTATAATAAAAATAATTTTTACCAGTTGTTCACGAAAATAATAAATATTATTTAATAAAATACGATAATGAATCGATAAAAATCTAAGAAAATGAAGAGAAATATTCCGAAACGATTTATTTATATCAATGAATTATACGTCAATCAAGTGGCAGCAACAAACATTTCCAGTAGTTGCAATTTAAACGCATGAAATATTGCAAAGAATCAAATTTTGCAAAAATATATCGATGAAATATAGCAGATTAAATAAAAAGAACGAAAATTAAGTCAAATTAAATAGAAATAACAAAATTTTTGTGGTTATATTGTAAAAGGACATTTTTACATAATAATAATAGTAATAATAATAATAAGGATTTGGGAAACGAAATTTTCGTTCCGAAAATTAACCATTCCAAATAATCCATTAAAAAAAAGAAAAAAAGCCGAACTAAAAGTGCATTACTATAAATTGAACAATGAACTGGGATTTTTTATTTTTTTTGTTTATTATTTCTAATCCAATAAGTAAACATTATTTGGAAATATCTTAGCCTAGTCGACAATTTACAAAGTAACCAGTTGTTAGGAAAGAAGAGATATTTGGACGCATAGACATATGTGGGTAAAGGTAGGAGAAGAGAATGACTTCATTTACAGTAAAGTATAGCATCGCATCGAGCGGAATGGAAATGTTTTATCTTAGTGCTTAGTGGTACCGCGAAATCAGCAACTGTGGTAGCCAGTAGAAGATGGATGACGAAACATATAATTTAATAATAAAGAAATAAATAAGGCAATCGGTAGAAAGTTGAATAAAGTATAAAATATTATTTACAAGAATTATTTTATTAAAAATAATTTCAAAATCCATTTTTATTTTATTAAGGAGCATTTCGAAATAAATATTAATGAAAATGGGATTAATAAACGAATTTTTATTTTAAATTTAATTTTTGAAAATAATTAAGGAAAATGCGCCATACTACTTCGGTGATATTGGCAACATTTACCATTGCTTATTGCTTATTGTCTGCTAATGTTGAATATTGTAATATTCCTCATTGCTTATCTTTTTAATGAAACGAGCGAGTGATAAAATAAATAAATATTCTTCGGTTACATATCAATCATAATACACTCTCATACAATAAAACCTAATTTTATTTCGGTTGATATGAAATAAGAAAGATAATTAGGAATGTAGGCAGGAAGGCAGGACAATCAGTTGGATTGGCATGGCATATAAATAGGCGAGTGGGTACTTAATTAAGTGGCTATCTTAGACGAGCATAAAGGTGGGCGAGTAAATGACTGGACAGATGAGTAGGTATGCAGGAGAGCGAGTAATCAGATGGATGCTATGTAAGTAGGTAAGTGGCTCGCCTATTTCATGTGTTGAATATATTTAAAGGATTATAAATCAAAAAATTTAGCACCATATAATTTAAAATTACGATTATTCACTATTTTTTTCTCTTTTTCCTGTTATTGAATAAAATTTTTTTGAAATTTCCTGCAAAAAAATTTTTTTGAATGAATTACTTTTATATATTGAAAATGCCCAAAGTTTCTAATTCTAAAAAATGAAAAAATAGAAATTCGGCAAATATTACAATTATTATTGCTGTTATTATCATTTATTATTATTATTATTATTAATGTGTAATGTGTAAGTCGAAGAAATATTTGTAACATATTTATTTATTTATATTTATTAAAAACGCTCTAATTTATAATCATGCCAATAATATACAGAGAAAATTAAACATAGGTTTTCAGCAGCTACCTGAATTTCATTTAAATTTTGAATTTTATCGTTCTCGGAATCAAAGAAAGGCATCGAATCTACATTAGTAAAGTACACAAGTAAACGAGTTACTTGTAGTAACCCATTAAATCTATTTAAATTTTTAGAAATTAATTTATAAAAGTAATTTTAATGTAATTTTGATCATGACAATATGATTAAAAATTTGATAGCAATTATAAAAAGTGATCACTGATTTTGTTTTTAAATTTGGCATCATTTAATTTTTGGCATTAATTTTTTCAACTATAAATTTCCAACTTAAACCACATAAGCCTTAAGCTTTAGTTTATGAATAGAAAAATCACTGGCGGAATGAAAACGTATGAAGAATGGGAATAAAGTTTGTTGTCCGATTTTTCGAATAAAAGTAATAAAAGTTGTGAAATTTTGCACAATTTTCATTTAAATTCGACAAAATTCAAAATAATAAGGTCAGAAATGCCGAGAAGATTCACTTCTAACGCTGTGCCCAAACGATCCCTAACCTAATGAATGAATCCTATCCCAGTGGATCAGAAAATAGAATAATGTTGGTGAATATTTGCTGGTGAATGTTGTTTGAAGAAGAAGGAGAAGACGAAGGGAATTTTGGTCAAATAATTATTTCTTTAGCGCAAATATACGTTCAAACCAAATGTGATTTTAATAATTTTGATTAATATTTATATCCGATTTTGGAACTTTTAAATGGGTCAATAAATTTATCAAATTAAACATCAAATTTCATACCTAAAAGAAAAATATTGAATTTATACGAAGCATTTATTAAATAATTCTAAACAATAAAAGTTGTTATCAAATTATTGTTGTCAAATTTGAGGCCGAAAATGCAGACGATAGGGGCAAGCAGCCACATTCAGCAACCCTTAGATTTGGTATTTGTTTTCTTTTTAGTTCTTTACTTGCAAGCATATATAGAACATCGATAGATTCATATTTAACCGGCACGCAACATAGTTTCATCGTAAATCTATCGCTAAGCGACTTGTATTCAGGATTGTCGCCTTCGAAATGAATACATTCACCTACACAATAATTCGCTAAAAATCCTTCTGGTTCCACTATAAAATCAAATCCTGCAATGGATAATTTATAAAATAAATATTCAATTGCGCATCTCAAGATAAATAAACAAATAAACAAAATAACCTATTTCATGGAATTTGACGTATAACGAATGTAAGTGGCATTCTCGTCTTTCATCACATTTTGATAAATTATTCTTAATTGTTATAGGCGAAATTTTTAAAATTGCAGGAACAATTTGATTACTTATTAGTTGGCGATTAGATTGACAAGAATAACAACCATTTTCATCGCAATTTTTGCAGATCACCAACTGCAAAAAATTTTATTCTGTCACATTCTTATTATTTTGCAGGTCACCACTGTTCCTATAATCGTTCCTAAATCCTTTTCGTGGATCTCGCTATATGGCAAATTCATCTTTGAACATTCATTCTAATTTTCATTTCTCATAGAAATATGTCAAAATTGAAATAAATTCAATTCAATTAATTGCTAAGCTTTTTTATTAACTTTGGTTGAAATGGATGGAATTGATTTATCGCATATTTGCACATTTTACTCGAAATTTTTTTTAAAGAAACCAACGAGAAAATTTGCAAATATTTTCATGAAATAAAAAAAATATTTCTAAAATATTTGTTTTAAACTTGGCTGAAACACCTTATACCTGTAATGTGAAATGGTTCTGTCCAACGCGAGACCATTCACTTATCACAGAAGTAATATTGAATTCGAGAATGTCGCTAGGAGAAATGTTTATTTTTTCCATATTTATGGTTTGAGAAGTATCTGAAATAAATGCTGTATTCTATTCTATTAAAACCTTTGGAACATGGCGATTTGCATTTTTCGTTTTAAGTAACGCTCATTATTTCTGGTTTGACTCGCTGCGCTGGTTTGCTGAAGCAGATAATTTTGCTTGGGGAATAGTTGGCAGTATTAATACATATGGATTTTCAGAGGTGTTACTTTAAATATATTTCTTAGAATTGCTTTCAGTTAATTAATCGAAAAATAATCCCAAAAAATTCTCAAATAAATATGTTATGTGCATATAGATAATTCGTAATCATTATAAATAATCACTGCAATTTTTTCCTACTTTAATAGAGCTAGTGATCTGCTTTATTAGATGAAGCTGGATGAAATACTTTTAAATGGGTCGATTAGCCTTATCAGTAGATATTCATCGACAAGCTCTTCGATAAAGACGATAATTAGCGATGCAGTGGAGATTTTGGTGTTCGGTGGAATTTCGAAATGCAAGCAATTCGGTATGGTAATTTCATTGAATTTACACGAATCTCCTGAATAATGAAAATTAACCAAACAGAAATTTTTTTCAAAATTCGGCGACGACGTATCAATATATCATAAATTTTTATTTCTTTCATCGAGCTCAAATGATACCGAATACGCTCAATTTATACCTGGCAAAGGAGCCTTGCCGAGACTAGTTTAGCTGGAATGTCACCAGGTCACCATTAAAGATTTTTTTGTCGAGTTAAAATTTGGTTCATCTCAGGCAGAGAAAATCTCTCATCCATATAAATAACTTATTACGTATTAATACATCGCCTCCAATTTAAACTGAGGTTATCGAAAAATTATCCTATGAGAACCATGGTATTAGTATTATCCTCTGCAACATGGAAAATAAAGACTCATAGGTGAGTTTGTATGGCGTAAAATATGCTCGACTAGTGAAAAATTGCTCGATATTGCCGAATGTTGCTGGATTTTGGTAAAATAAATAAAAATATGATATTTTTATTAATAATTATTAATTCCTCCAGCTAACTGCAAATTTTTTTTTTTAGCAAAAGGCATGCCACTAAAATATTCAATGATGTATGGTAGCTAGTAGGAAAAATTTAATTGTATAAATTTTAAATACCTTGGGTTCACTCTAATACCAAATGGACAGGCAAAAGATGATATTACAACTCGCATCACGGCAGCAAGAAGTGTAACGCATCATCATAAAAAAATTGAAATTTTCATCCGGTTGCCGAAATCTTTATGGAGTCGTCGTGAAATCATCATAAAAACGAAAGTCCGCATCTATATAGCCGTGATCCACTGGATCTTGCTATATGGTTCTGATAAATGGCCAATGAGAGGATATTAAGAAGTTATCTGCCTTTGACCACTCTAGTCTAAGGTACATATTATGGATCCGTCGAGCGGATAAGTTATCACATGATCGCATTCACCTTCGTTAAAACACCACTTGCTTAAATAATGTAGGAAAAAAAACTATGATGTGGTGGTCATGCGCTATATGGCCCATTATGCCATCTTTTAGAAGTAGAAATAGTTTAAGAGCTGATACGAACCTGATGCTGAAGCAAAAGCAATATGTTCTCTTAAAGCATTGCTGGCTTCATTTCTCGAAACCTTTTGGTAATATTCATTGTACGAGGTCTGATTAATTCGAGATGCTTGTCGCCCAATCGGACCATCCTTCATTAGCATAAAGTATTTAATTGCATAAAGACTTGTTGTGCCATCTTCTAAATCAAATACTTCTCCATTTACTAGAAGAAATAAAATAAAATAGGTTGCTTTATAATATTGCATTGAACTGCCTGAAATTAGCAAAAATCAGCTTATAACAGTTTTTATAAATTTTATAAATCCATTCTTATAATTTAAAAAGTAATGCTGTTGAAATTGTTGGAAGTAGGTTAAGTGATTAGTGATTACAGTTTTAAAAGAATTATATAAAAAAAAACATGATTCTGAATATTGCAAACAAGCAAAGTATTTCAAAATATGATATTCTCATTATCACAATTGACATTTAGATAACGGCCGTGGTGCAGAAAAAATGTGGCGATAATCCAGAAGGAACCAATAAATTTTGCTTCCAAGAAGCCATCGAACGATCATTGAAATAATATAAATGAAACTGAGCAATGCGAAATTTTCTCGCATCATATATAATCATAATAATCTTGTTTAATTGGACTAAATCAGAGGAATATTTAAACTTTTTTCTAAGAGTGCTTATTATTTTCTCTCTTAGCCTTTGGCTTGTTGGACCTCTCAAATCTCGTCAAAGATTCATTTGGCGACATAGTATCATAACTTCTTTTTGAAAAAAGGGTTTTCCCCACCCCAATTAAAAACCCAAACCTGAGGTTCAAAGATGGATGCATAACCCACTGAACCATTCTACCATCTCTAATCACAACTAACGAATTGTCTAACCAAACCAATTATGAAGTGAAATATAGGAATGAATATGCAACAAGGAATTGGGTTTTCTTTGCTTTATAGTTTCAAAACTGAAAATTCTTGAATATCTAAGGTGCAACGCCCATTTCCAAGAAAAAATTAACTGCAAAAAACTCCATTGTAAGTTTTATTTTATCTACTTTTTTATGGGAATATAAGCAAATAAATATTTATATTGATAATGATATGATAAATGGATATTTTTTTGTTGTATTTTATGCGTTTCAGGAGAAAATATTCATTTTTTTTGACTTTTTGCTGCGATAATCCTTGACTTTAGAGTTTAAGGCAAATCTTTCTTCTTCAATTAATTGATGAATACATGGTTGAGAGTATTTCGCTAAAGAACCACATGAGGACCAGAAATTCAGGCAAATTCAGCGAATCAACAATTGGATTATATTTTTGTTATCAGTTTTATTGTTATCAAGAGGCATTAATCGAATCCTGCTTTGCTTATCCTTAGATAAAGCAGTATACGGCACATATCTCATTCTGTCTTCAGATTTTCAGATTGGTACAAACTGTAAGATTGCCAAATTCACTTAACAACTGTTGTTTGACTGGAGCTTCATTGTTGTGGCATTAAAAATTAACAAGATTTATGGAGAAATGTATGATTGCTGACTATAACAAAATTCGTCTAAAGCATTTTTGTTGAAGGATAATTATTTAATAAAGTTTGTAGGTAACAGAAACGGCTTATTGCTGCAGAAGTGGGTCTATTTTTGAAGAATCCTGGTGATGCTTGGAGACTCATCTGTATTTCTATCACCAGTTCATAAATCAACGCCAAAATCGGTCCGCCACAGCAAGCCAGTGGAGCGAGATCTCCTTTCTAGATTACAATTTTCTTTGCTGTTTTATGCATGATATTAATAATATTTGTAGTTTTTCGTGATATTTTCATCCTAAATAAGTCATCAAGAAAGATTTCACTCGATCAAAAAGAATATTTTATAATACTTTATAACTTCGCTTAAACTTTTATTAATCATTCTTGAATCAATGTCATTTAAAATATCATTCATTATTACATTTGTTGCACTAAGAAGATGGATGAGATTAATATTTAATTATCTAATTTAATTTAATATTTAATAATTAATTATCCAATTCTCCAAAGTCCATCAAGACAGACTCCCTAGCATAAATATTTTTCACCACCCATACGAGAATAAAAAAATTGTTAAAATCCAAATATTTTCTCATGCAGCATTTTTCAAATGTTTTCATGAAATTCTCATCAATTCTTATCAAAATTCTTATCAAATGCTTCTTCCGTAATTTGAATAAGATTTATGGAGAAATGGATAATTGACCATTAAATTTAAAATCAATAAATTTAAAAATTTATGTATCCTTAGAATGAAAAAATTTTAGTGCATTATGAGCCTTAAGATTCACGAAATATAAATTTAGTGCCGAGAAGTATGTTCTTGCAGTGAGTATCTGAATCATTCCCAATCGTCGATGCTGCTGCTTGATTGCTATGCTTTATTTATCAGCCTTACTTATTTTTATCAGTAAGTTATTAATAATAATATTTTCCTGCCTTAATTTAAATTAATTTTTCGATAATAAATTAAGGAAACAGTGCTTGTGATTTCTCGATATATTAGGTGAAAATACAATAACAGAAAATCACTTCGTGATAAATGTGCACCACGAACTGGAATCTCAGAGGAAACAATAGAGTAATCTGGTTCGCCTTTATTCCCTCGGTCTATCTCATTTTTTGATAATTTTTTGATAATTTTCAATAATTTTATCAATAATTTCTCTCGGAGTACACGTAGCGAATATATATATTTCATATTCCAGTTAGTTTTATTCATTTCGTAGCTTCCTTGAATCGACTGCAGATGGAATTCATTTTCATTTTTTGCATAAGTGAAATTCTTGTTTCTTACAATTATATCAATATTTTTTCATAGTTTACACAATGTTTAATATGGACGGAAATAATTATTGTTTAGAAATGTTATGATTTTTTTTCAGAAAATATTTTTCACAATAAATTTTTCATATTTTTTATGAAACATATGCTATTTATTGTTATGAAAAATTCTGGATTAAATAAGAAATTTTTGATAAAATATCATTATTTTTTTCATACTGGAACAGTACTAACCATTTCCTCTTAGACAACTGATATTTCGATCCGCTGCCGGATTTATTTTTATTTTGGTCGCTTATCTGAGCACAATTTTTTTGCCAAAGAGTTATTTGATTATAAAAGTGGAGAAAAATCGCCCGTAGTATTGGAGTTTTTTAAAGATAGATTTTCTTTTGACTGGAATAGAATCCTAGCATCGACGCTCCTACACTAAATGAGAGCAACAATGTATATTCTGATTGAACCAGTTTATCTCATCCATTATCACTTCCATTATCACATGATATGGATATCAGTTAATGATATAGATTTCCGACAATCAGAATACACATTACAACAAATTTAAGAAAATAGAAGAAAAATGAACGATTATATGTCCTAAGGCTCCATCTCAGAGCTTTTCAGAAATTTGAAATTGTGTTCTTCCATTAGTGATTCGAAGTATTAATGTGCGCTACTGAAAATGCCAAGGCTCTTATGACTGATAATTTTCTAAATTTAACAAATCTTCTATACAAAAGCCAAAAAGCCTTATGGCTAAAGCCAAGCATAATTGATAGTGACTTAAATTTTTAATAGATCTGCTTAGTTTAATTTAGTTAAACAACAACTTAGTTTAATTGAAGTCTACTAAATATAATTTTATTTAAAAGATTGAATTTACTGAAAATCATTGAAAGATAATGGTCATAAAAGATTCTCTTAACACCTTATCAGCCATTTTTGCAGAAGTATTTTATAGCCAAATTTATTTGCTAGGTACATAGTAAGGAGTAGAATGGCTCAGTGGGTTGTTGCTCAATTGGAAAGCGCAGATGCAGAGGTTGTATTCCCTGCAAAAGTAAACCTGTCCAAGAATCCAGGTTGTACTGTCACCTGGACTTCCGTCCTCAAGAGATTCCCTGGTATTTGTCCAGTGCGACAAGCCAGCAAAGCGAGTTTGACCAGTAATGAGCACTTTGTTCCATAATGGTAATAATAGGCGATCTATGATCGATCGTTTCCTTTTTTCCTTCTCTTTCTACTCCAGATCCTCAATCTGCCCTTCCAATCTCATCGTTCTTTTTCTTCATTATTATTTTCTTCATTTTCTTCATTAATTGACAAAGGAGTACTCTATAGTCGAATAATAACTCGAAAAGTACCGCGCACATGTCTATATCTTAAAGCGATTTTTTGACTACTGTACCTCTGCCTGTATTTTCATTCGAAATAGGTTGGTAAAGGGCGAATGAACGTTGGTAGGGAAGGTGATGAAGGTGGTGAGAAGTGGTCTTTCGATAATAAAGCTGATTTTCAATCAAATTTATCTTCCGACCTGAATTCAAAGCTTATAATTTCACCTAATCGACGATTTACAGCGGTAAAACGAAAAATTCAAATAGTTAAAAAAGAAGAATTAGGTTTAATTACTCAAAAATCGATATATGATTCTGTTATTTTATATTTGAAGCGGCGTTTTCCGCAATCAGTTCATTCAACTGATAACGATACGAATGACACAATTATAAAATTTTGTTATGAAATTACACAACCTGATTGGGTTAGTTTTCAATTGTTTATTAATTTTCAATTTTTTTTTATTTTTTTCATATTAATTTTGCTTTTATTTATATAAATAAATTAAAATTATAATTATTGTAAAATTATAATTAATTATAAAATAAAACTAGTAAATTAATATTAAGCGAACACAAATATTGTTTTGATTTTTCAATTTTTTATTTTTTTTATTTAATTTCAATCTTTGAATATCGTTTAAATTTTTCTTTAATTTGGATAGCTAAAATCAAATCAGATCTTCAAATCTGTCAGTTATATCATTGCAATGCTCGTATTCCCCTTCCTTCTCGGGAGGACCCCATGAATTACCAAATCCTTTTCATTCCTCCGTATTTCATCCCATCCTTCTATTTCCTCACATTTCGATCATCGTTTCGAGTCCCATTATACCACCACTGGTTTACCCTTTGCAACTGTACAATTTCTACAAGTTATAATGCTGAGATAAGAGCGAGGTTAGGTGATCTGGAGGGGGGGACTCGGCTTTAGGCACAAGATTCTAGATATAATTAATATGTTACTATAAAGCAGTATTTAATGTGGGTTGAAAGAAAATAATGTGCAGGAGGCTTTTTGTGGTATCAAAGAGTTCTAGCATTTAGAGGGTTATTTTAAAAAAATGTGACTTTGAGTTTAAGATTTAAGATTATAAAATTTCAACTATTATATATGGTGTTTATTAATGGAATGCTAATTGCAATGTCCCAATAAGCATAATAAGTTCTCATTCTATTCTATTAGCCCAATCTATTAATCTTATTCTTTACGCTAGAGAATCACTGGTGAATAGAAGTAGAAATATCCCAACACCACTGGGATTCCTTTTTTAATGATGGACATGCGCAGTCAAGGATGAAGAGTTATATCCATGCTATTTGTCGTTACATTAAAAGTAATAGTAAAAGAATATAAAGGATTTTAATAAATTGAGAGTGCGATATTAATATTATGAGACTAATATCAGATAGATATCAGATAGAACCATTGCGTTGCCACATTTTGGTAGATTATCCATATTTATATTATTTCAGACATAATCAGGGAAATTGAATAACAATAATCTGTCCATACAAATTAAAGATATGCTTTTAAAAGGCATCAGTTTTAACAATTTAATCATTTTTTGTTGCGGTTTTCAGCGCTCATGTATTCTGTGAATTAAATTAAACAAATTAAATTGAAATCTTGATTAATTTAATTCTTTTAATTATTTCAGGCATTTGATGTAAAAAAAGTAAAATTTTTGATCAGAATTGGCCAAGATTACCCGATAAAAATGCCTGTTATTAAAGTAATTGACGAATCTTTGCCATTCCCACTTATCAAACATATTGAAAAGTCTATTTCTGATTTTTTATTTGTGAGTGTAATTTTATTTTTTAGCTCAACATTTTTCCATTGAGAACAGTAATAATAACAATAATAGTAATAGTAATAATAGTAATAATACTATATATTGTCATTATTATTAATAATATCGCTAGCAGTAATAAGAATTTTTTTCGCTAGGGTTCTTTTTATGAACACATAACATATCTGGTAAAGAAGAGGGTAAGAAAAAATTCTAAAAAATATTCTCTGTGAAAAGGTTGTTTTCAGAACAAATATTTTATTATGGAAAATTCTAATGCTTATAGTTGCCTTGCTCAGCAGTTTATTCGTTGGTTGGATCGATCTATATTTGATTTATTTCTCAATGGTTTGAAAAAAACTAAATTGATTTATGAAGCTCGTGATGCTGGAATTTCTCTCTTCCTTCCGTCTCAAAGAGCTATTTCTGATGAAGTATGAAATTTTTTTTTAAAATTATTCTTAGAAAATACGTTATTTTTTCATTCTTTAATGTTGAAAATTTAGAAGCAAATAAGGTTCTTATATTTTGCCCGAACTACGTGGCAAAAGTTTTTGAGAATATTGTAAATGCAAATACTTGAAAAAACGAACCGTTCTTAAATATTTTTTCAAGAAAAATGAATCTGTTGAAAAATCAGATGTTCCCCCAGAACAATATTTTGACGACAACGAGTGCATTCCGATATGTGGGATTGCTTCAGTTGTGAGTTCCCATTCTTATTTTTTATATATCATTTTTAAAAATTTTGTATTTGATTGTAAAACTTTTTATTTCATTATTTTTAAAATTTTTTTAGAATAAACAGACAGAAAACGTCGACAGCAAAGGTTTTAATTCTTCTATTGAAGTGAGATTACACTGGATAAATGTTAATGGAAATGTTGCGTCAGTAACAGCTTTACAGATGACATTTGGTTGCAAATGTATCAGATGCAGTTCACTGACATTCTTTTCATGTTCGGATAAAGATATGGTTAAACAGTCGTGCAGGAAGTAAATTTTTATATTCTTGGATTTTTTATTCTTCTAAATTTATTTCTTAATTTCTGCCTGGTTTAGATGTTCTAATGGTCAATCAGTACGTCTTATTGCTGATATAGTGCATGAAAATTCTAATATCATTGGTAGATTGGAGTTGAAAGGCTGTCGTCCAGTGGATTGCGTCCTTCTTTCTTCTAAATTTCAATATACTTGTCTAGCATGTAATCGAGAAGCTTTCATTGAGGTGTATCCCATAAATTTTTCGTTTGAATAATTAAATTTCATTTAGACATAAGTTTTTCACTTGAATATTTGAATAAAATTGAAATGAAATTAAAGTTAAAATAATAAAATAAAATAATAAATAAATAATATTTAATAAATTTTAATAAATTTAATAAATTTATTAAATTATTAATTTTAATAAATTTAATAAATTTTAGTAATCAAGGTTTTCAGAATATTACATATGATGTAACGCATAAGAGTTGGTGTTTTTCTTGTCATGCTAAATGCGAATTGAAGATATTGGCGATAAGATTTAGTGGAAATTTTCATTTAATTCCTCAAGAGGATTTCACTGTGGTTAAGTCAAAGGTAAAAATGCTTTTAACCTTTAATTTTTTCTCCTTTTCTGTTTGTTTGCATATTTATTGCGCAAAGATTAGCATTCGATTTATTATTATGGAAAAAGGAATTTTAGGTAGCTAAGAAAAAAGATGTTTCGTCTTTTTCACTCGTTGATGGTCAGCCGCTACCTGCAAATGGGACTTGTGAGCATTACAAGAAAAGTTTTCGTTGGTTCAGGTTCATTGCTTATTATATTATTTTCTCGTTTTGTTATTTTATTATTTTTTTACTTGTTATTTTCTATTTTTACAAGTTTTTTTTATTTATTGAAATTGGACTCTTCTTAAAGGTTTCCATGTTGTGGTAAGTTGTATCCTTGTGATCTGTGTCACGACAAAAATGAGAAAGATCATGAAATGAAATTTGCTAATCGAATGATTTGTGGGTTCTGCAGTAAAGAACAGGTAATATACATTTGACGCTGACTTTGATGAGTAATATATATATATATATATATGTATATAGTATAAATCTATTGTAAAATTTTTCAGCCATTTCAACAGTCCAAACCTTGTGTAAATTGTAATTCAAATGTAAAACGTTCGAAGTCATCATTTTGGGAAGGTGGGAAGGGTTGTAGAGATAAAATTATAATGAACAGGTTGGTATGATTTTTTAAATCATATGATTTTTTTGCTTGTAAGATTCACAAGCAAAGAATCATTATGCTTTAATTTTGATAAATTTCCTATTTAAGCTTATAAATTTTTTTTATAAAAATTTTTATTAAAAAGTCTTTAATTTAGTTAAAATTTATTGTTGAAAACTAAATTTAGGCATGATAGAAGGAAATATACTGCTGGACATTCCAAGAAGTCCGAAAATTCACCACAACAGGTTGTTGCGAAGTCGAAAAAAAATTAAATGTTTTTTAACCTATATCTTTCTATTTGTGGAAATAATTTCTTGAAAGGATTATTTATTCGATATTGCATAGGTTAGTATTTTTTTTGTTGGTGAATTTTCTTTTGAATTTATAAATTCTATCCATTAATGGGTAATTGTTGGAAATTTTTTAGTTCTTAAAAGGTGGATGGTCTTTAGGTATAAAGTGAGTTTGAAGAGTGGTCAATTGTTTTTCTTCTTTCTCTTGGCTTTTTCTCTTTTTATTTTATAGGTAATTGCTGTTAAAATTTTAAAAGCAAATGATTCGAACGACATACTTCACTTGAAATTTGCCTTTTAATTTTTTTTTATATTGCTAAAGAGTGAATATAGATGGTTCCATCATTTTGATAATAAAAGCGATACAGCTATTTTAACAAATTTTTTCATGCCCAGGATCAGCCTAGAAGGCGAAAATCTGATTGAATTGGTTGAATAGCATTTTTTTTTTTAAACTTTTTAGACTAATTCAATATCAATCAAGTAAAAATTTTAGGAAGTATGATTCATATGAGAATGGTATGCAAATTCTTCTTCTTAGATCTTTCTTAGGTGTTTGCATTCGAAATAAGTGGGTAGTATTGGATTCGTTTTTCAGGGTTGTCGATTAAAGTCGTAGGAATTTTTTTTATAGATTATAGATTGGCCTTACTACTATGATAATTCCTATGCGAATCACATTTAAGCTGTTTATTTAAATTATCAGAAATTTAGTTTTAGCAATTCTAAAACAAAGTGTTATTTAAATAATCAAATTTAATCGAATCGCTTTTATCCATTCTACAACGATTTATTCTCTTTACAACAATATTATTTATGGCATTAAGTATGAAATAGAGGAAATAGTCAGTTTCCCGTCATTAATCAACATTTCACTCATTACAGCGCATATGTTACATTATTTCTCTTGAAACAAACTATTTTAAAAAAAATTGCTGGTACGTTCGCACAGATTTTGCTATTCTTATCATAAGCCAGAAGCGAAATATATAATAATATGTTGGTTTCTATCAGCTAAAATAACGCGCAATTGGATTAGTCTTGAAGTAGACGTTGAATTAAGGAAAATTATTCTGAATGTGACAGTTAATCGCTAGTATCTTTTTAATTAACATACAATTATATATGTTCCTTTTACTAAATTATTCGAAGTGATGGTGCGCTTTCTATCAAAATATTTTTATTAGTTAATTAATCATAGTTTGTTATAGGCTAGCATAGACCAAATATGAATGTAAATATTTGTTGAATTGATAAGTTTTCATGAAACGACCATCATTCTGATCATGACCTCCTCTTTACACCAATCTTATTTGACGATATTTTATTATACATATTTTTAACCAGTCAATTTATTAACCAATGCAGATGTTCTCATTTCATTCGAAATTAACGTAATCTATTCTTGTCAAACCTTTCTTGTGTTTGTTTTGTTAATGGTGAACGTCTTATAAAAAAATAAGTTTGGTTTTTTTTTGATTAAATTCAGAAATAAGGGGCTAAACGCATTTTTATTGTAAATTGAGGAAAGTATATACGATATGGTTTTTCAACAAGGAAATATATAAATAAATAAAGTGGAGAATTTTGAAATATATAAAAGGAGTAATAAATGAAGTCATTTGGTATGAAAGAAAAGAAAAGGAGAGATTCATTACCGTCGTTTTCACTGAGAGGTTAAGATACATTATAAGTTTTCATTTGTGGTTTTAATATTTTTTATACCATAATATGTCCTAGTAGCCAAGAGATTTCTTATAGATAATCAATAGATAAATTGTGATAATCAATCGATTAAATAAATTAAGTTGCTAATGATATATCAATTAATAATTGTCTATAATTTTAATTATTATAATTCATGATGTAATAGATACTGCAGGCGAAATGAATATTTAGCAGGGGATAAAACTGCCCAGTGGGTTGTTTCTTTTATTTTGAAGTACTTGGGATTCCATGCAAATCTTTAAAAAATCGGGTGACGGTGGTGACTTATTTTTATTACTATCATCATTGGCAACGCTACTTGGCAAAATTTTTATGGTCCGATAAGCCAGTGGAGCGTGTTCAACAAGAAATAGTGAGCTGTCTAGAAAAAAATGGCCATTCAACAAGCAGAAAAAATAAGGCACACTTTTGACTAAATAGTGAGTTATTTATTAATGAATTTTTTTTTTCATTTGGCATATATATGTGTACAAGGCTGTTTTATTGCTGAGAAATAAAACAGGCAGTATTTCTTCCCGCTTCCTGATCAAGATATTTCTATTTGCTCGTATATTTCTGTATTTTCATCTGTCGTTCATTCATCCTATCAACCAATCGTTTTCATATGGTGAAAGAAGTGGGATCCATTACCCACTTCTAATCGCTGTCGGTTTCTTGCAAGAAAAAATGTTCTTCGAAAAAAATTCATTTATCAATTGAATTATTATGTTCAAAGAACCATAATTTTTTCATTTTCCTTTGTAATAATTTTGTAAAACGTAAGGGAATTTATAAAATTATATTTTCTCGCATAATCTGACTTATCCAGATAGGAAGTGGTACTGGTTAACGTTTCGTGGCATTCATGTTTTTCCCTATAAAAGTTCTAAAACCCTGAAAATCCAGCGAAGAATTGCGCGTCAAAGAATTCTTGTCTGGAATAACCATTCCATTCCCCTTGGAATATTTTCTTGCATAGCTGCTGATCTCAAACTCATTTAAGTGAAGTTATGAAACATTGGTCCTTAGTTGAACCTTAGTTCTTATTGCTTTTTTAATGAATTTTTTAAATTACGAAATGTATTTGCACGAATTTTTTTAATAATAATTTAATGATAATTTCAATTGTCATAATAAAAAAAATTATAAGAATTCATTTCATTCATTAAAATTAAAATTCATTAAAATTAAAATTTTCACGATAAACTTTTTGCAAATTCATAAATAATTTAGTTTTTTGCCAACCATTTTCTATTCATAATAAGCTAAAAAATTTTTTTTCATTATTTCTTTTTACCATTTTTTTTTTTTTTTTTGATTTCCTTCTCGAAATCCAATGAAATATTTTGGCTCACAACTGGTTGAATTAATTCTTTATTAAATTATTTAGTTAGTTATTTTAGATTTAATAATTTCGAGTTTTTTTGAAGACTGCAAAACGGGTTCTATTATAATAGCTGACTGGAATTCTATTTTAAAAATATTAATTATATTTATTTAGTCAAATCACACTTAAATTTAAAGGATACGTTTTCAGGTAAATTTTATCGATAGAAATGCAAAATTTTTATTTGCGAAAAGATTACTTAAAGAGTTATTACTTTAAATAAATATAAGTTAAATGTAAAATAAAATCGCTTAAAAAAATTCATTTCAAATTATTCGACAAAAAAATTTAATTCACCAAATAGCAAAGGCTCAATAGCTTTTATTTTGGGAGTGCCACTTTTGACAGCAATAGACCTTTCTTTTAAAAATTTAATCCGGATAATGCCGAGGACTCATTTGCGTTTTTGTCGGTGAACGCATGGAAAATTTGTCTGACTCGACAAGCCAGCCAAGGAATGAGCTCAGCCAGAAATAGCAGTTGCTTTTAGGAAAAAAAATTGGCTAACTATCGCGATTGTTTCAATATTTTGTAAAATGGATTCTCTCACGTAATTATTCCTTTTTTTATGCACTGCTCAAAATGCTCACTGCTTAAATTAAATTCAAAATTTTATTGAAAAATTTCAAAAAACTGAAAAGAATTTTTATTTTCGTAAATCTTTCATCTTTATGATAAAATCTTACGATTATTTCACTCATTATTTTTAATATTTTGACAGTATTTTTAAGTTGGTACTTGTTGGTACTTATAAGTCTATAAGACGTAGCGAGTTAGATGTTGGATGTTAGTCGATTAGCATATTTTTACTATATGGCGTGCATTTTTGTCCAATGGCTCTTAATTGTTTTACGTGAAGGGTTCATGGATTCACGTTTTATTCAAGCAAGGATACACTTATGCATCATGTCCTAGTTCTGGTTCCATTTTTATTTTATTTATGATTTTATTTTTTCTGTGAATAATAAAAACTAGTTCTTACTATTCCTCTAAATTGTTTTTTATAAAATCAGAAATATTTTTATAAAAAATATAAAAGAATCTTGTAGTCGTTGCAGGAGAGAGTAGAGAGGGATACCGGAGTGAGAGGGGGGAAGGGGAGACGGAGAAATTCAAGAAACTTCTCATTATAGCCAAATCACCTTTATCCATGATGAATTCATAAGACGCTTCATATGCGATAATTTTTCGTATGGTTTCGGATTTCGGATTTTTTATTATTTATTACGTTAGTTTTGGATCTTATTTTTTTGTGGTTTAGCTTGAAATTTAGGTCGATTTCGAACCAAAAATAGATACATTAATAAAATGTGGCAAAAAAAGCCAAACTAATCGCTTGTTACGCCAATTATTATCCAAATCACGCGCAATTCACCTTTAATTCATTTGAAAACTTGTTATATTTAACTTCTTCGATGAAGCGACTGATTGTATAATTTTTTGTCTAAAAATTCATTTTACATGAAATGTATTCTTTTAAAAAATGGCGCAAAATATTGTCGCGAATCGCATAAATCGTAGACCTTATGATTTTTTTCAATCATATTTTTAATTTTAATTCTTCAAATTTCGTTATAATTTCATTTATAAATATATAAATAGATATAATTGCTATAAGTATAAATATTTGGT